TTGGCGCTCTGCAAGGCGCGGAGCGCCAGCCCTTGAAATTCAGAAGGGTCATGCTGGCGCTCTGCTAGGCGCGGCACCCCAAGGGGGAAAATTCAGAACCCCTTTTGGGGTGAACTGGCAGGTGCGACGCGCCAATTCCTCACCCAGAAAACTCGACTTTTTCCCCTCTCTTTCCAACTCTAAACCACCCTAACACCAAAGGTTTCAACCCCAACCACTAAGGATCATCATATCCCTCAACATACCATGGATTACAACTCAAAACACAACCGGAAACAAGTCCCAAATCAACAAGAATCTCAACATCACAATCAACAACAATACCAACAACTTCAACAACATAACCAATCCTTTCTCAATAAATAAAAGGGGCTTGGTGTGTGGGGGAAAATATCAACCCACACTAAATACTCACATACCTAGTAGGGATCACCCCCGACGATTTCCACGACGATCTTGGACGGAAACTTCTTGATCTTCTCTTCTTCTGCTCTTCTGCTCTTCTTCTCTTCTTCTCTTCTTCACTCTCAAGAACCCTAACTCTAACTCTTTTAAAATGGAACTAAAATGATCCACAATAAGCCTAACACAACAATATAACCTCAAGAGAAATGGCTAGGGAAAAGACCAAAAATGCCCTTAAAATTTCCGGACGGATTCCCTGCCAAACTGCCCAAACTTTCAAAGGTCATAACTCACGCATACGAACTCGGAATCGAGCAAAACTCGGTGGCGTTGGAAAGATCATTCCACGAACTTTGCAACCACAACTGTAACTCCACTAACTCATCCTGAGCTAGAATTTATGGTTGTTCAAAGTTGGCCAAAAATTCACCTTTTCCTTACTTGGTCAAAATTTTCCAGAATTTTCAAATTCTTTCCAAAAATGAAAATTTTCAAATTCTAAGCCTCTTCTTAGTTATTTCAATTTTCCAGATGTTACAGAAGCATTTTATGTTAAGTCTGTATTCACACTTATTAAATAATATGTGGTTTTGGTGTTCACATGAATAATTATTAGTGAAACATATATTTCTGTGTGCCATTAGCTTTGTAATTTTTTCAATACTTGGGTAGGTAATATCAAATGTTACTTAATAATGTTTAATTAGAAAATAAAAGCTTAGCTAGATGTGAAGAAATTAGATGAATATTTTGATGATATAGACTACACTTCTTTTTAATTTCACTCTGGTGCTTTTTTGTTGTGTGAAATTAAGATATATAGATGAGCCTGGAACTGCCTGCTCATCTCAACCAGGAAGTTGTTGAAATCATCATTTAGGAGCAAGACCGATTCATACCAAACGTGGCCAGAATCATGCATAGCACCCATCCTCCCCATGCCAATATATCCGATGACGCCAAACGGACCATGTACGAATGTATCTCTGAGTTTATATGCTTTGTAACATATGAAGCCAACGCTCATTGCCAGCGTGAGCAACGGAACACCAACACTGATGAAGACGTGCATTGGGTCATTAACAAGTTTGGTTTTGATGACTACATTGAACCCTTGCCTTTGTACTTTCCTCGTTGTCGTGAGGATGATGGTGGCGAGTGTGGATCCCTTATAGGGGAGTCTTTGTTGAAGCGTCCAATGGTTGATACATCTTCAAGCTGCAACATCACACCCTATCACCTTCCTCCTAATTTTCCTATGGCTCATCACCACTTTGTGTATCCACCACCAGTGGGAAATGGTGATATGCAGGGTGATGCATCAAATGGAAGCACTTCTCAGTGTGAAGTGGCTTCAGTGGATAGTGACGTTGAGGCTCCTACGGAGGAGGATAATGAGTGATCAATTTCTCGATCAATTGAAGGTATTAAGTTGTTGTTGAAGCTTATCATGAGTAATGAAGAAAGTTTAGGAATAGTTTTTAATTTGCAAAGTTTAGGAATGTATGTGTCGAACTAAGTGAGCCAAATGGTGCCCCTTCAATTTGCTGTTTACTTATGTGTGTATGTGTATGTGTATGTGTATGTTTGAGTGTGGTGGAAGTGCTCAACCACATGAACAAGTGCTACTAGTCCTTATTGTGATATTTCTAATTGAGCATGAGATCTTTTTATACTCTTAATTCTCATTTTGAATTTAAATATTTGATCAAACACTTAGGAAAACAACAGAGGAATTGCTCTGCCACCTCTTTGCTCTTCTTACAGGACCAATTACCAAGGTTACCCTTGACATTCCTAATCTGGAAACATGTCCAAAAAATGACCACTTGATATATTTCCTCTATAGGAATGTCATTCAGCATCTAGTTGTTAAGCCTCTGTTTGGTAACCGATACAAACTGCCTTCTTTTTTTCATATGTTTGGATTTGAATCATTATTCAAACAAGGTCTTTCTCAAACAAATTCCTTGATTCGTAGCATATGAAGCAGCCACATATTCAGCTTCTGCTTAAGATTGAGCTACAATATCTTGCTTCTTTGTGCTCCAAGAAAAAATTATGAACCAAGCAAAAAAGAGTAACGGGATGTGCTTTTGTAATCATCCAAATATCCACCCCATTAACTATCTGAGTAGCCAGGAAGATTTCCATTCTCCACACTTCTATACCAAATTCCATAATCAATTGTCCCTCTAATGTACCTTAACACCCTTTTAGCGGCTCCAAAATGCTTAGTACTGGGACTTTGCATATATTAGGATACAATTGGTTTCCAATAAGACTTCAATAAAGGATTGGATCTGCCCTCTCTTGACCATCATCCTTCATCAATTTTTCATTCACAAGAACTGGTGTTACAAAAGGTTCGCACTTGTCAAGCTTGAAATTTTTTCAACAGATTCAAGGCATACCTCTTTTGGGACAAGAAAATTCCTTCACAAGATTGAGAAATCTCCATTCCCAGGAAAAACTTCTTCTTTCCTAGATCAGACATCTCAAAATCTTTTACCATTTCATTTTTAACTTCTTGAACCGCAAGAAGATTTTCACCAGTTATCATCAGATAATCAACATAAACAGATATCACAATCCACATCCCATCAAATTGCCTTTTGAAGTACAAAGTAGGCTCATTTAGGCTTTCGCTGAAGCCTTGAGACAACTAAATGAATGTACGTATTACGTAAACATGACCCTTAACTTGGCGTCAGTTAACAACTATGACCTTTAACTTTGGGTGTGCATAAGTAGGCACTTAAACTTGTATAAAACTGAACAAATAGACACATTCGTCTTACATGACACCCTACATGATAATTTTGTGTCCTATGTGTATTATGCCATATAGGACACGTGTGTCTACTTGTTCAATTTTATACAAGTTTAAGTGCCTACTTGTGCATACTCAAAGTTGGAGGGCATACACTACAACAAAAACAACTTTTAGCGGCAATAAATAGACACATTAATAAAGAGTCCTAAAGTCTTTACTGGTATTAGTTAAGTGTCATTAGATCCAATGTCCCTAAAGGCTTTAGCGACATATAAAAAGAGTGCTAATTGCCGCTAAAAATACATATTTAGCGGCAATTGAGCTATTGTCATTAATTAATTATCGCTAAAAATCATTTTTGATGTAGTTATAGTGGTCCACTGAAGTCAAGTCAGAGGTCATGCTTATGTATTATGAGTTATGACAAATGAATATCCAGCCTACTATACCAAACTCTTGGAGCCTTTTTAAGACCATAGAAAGCTTTTTTAAGCTAATACACCATGCCTTCTTCACCTATGAAAGATTTTCCACTTGTACTGTGTTGCAAGTGTAATGACCCTAAAGGTCATTTTTGGAATTTTCTAGAAAATTATTATTTACCCTTTATAAAAATTGCAACAAGTCATTTTTGGTCCATTGTTATGGTTAGTTTGGGAACCAGAGTGAAAAGTTGGGAGTTTTGAAAAAAGAATTGGGTTTTGAAGATTTTAAAGTTGAAATGGTTGACTTTAATCAACATTTGGAGTATCGAAATGGAATTTTGTCAGTTTCATCAGCTCCGGAATGTGATTTTGGTTAGTAGGACTATTGGCTCAGGTTCTAAGGTATTTAGATGAGTTTTGAAAGAGTTTTTGTGTTTTGAAAGTTGAAAGCATAAGAGAGTTGACCAAAGTCAATTTTGGTGATAGCAAGCTCGGAATAAAATTCCGACAATTTTGTTAACTCCGTAATATGTTTTTTTGGTCTAGATGTATTGTTGGTTTGAGTCTTAAGGCTTTTGGTTTGATTTTGAGCCATTAGACGAGATGCGGTAAGGTTAAGGCTAAACTTTGACTTTAGTCAACCTTTGAGGTTAGAATGGTCATTTTCAAGTTTTGATGATTCCACTTAGTCTGGAGGGTGATATTTTGTCTAGTTGAAGGTTTGGTTCAATTCTCGAAACCTTTGAATGAGTTTCATGTCCTTATTTGAAATTTGGAGATTCTTAAGTTAAAGTTGATTTTGGGCAAACATCGGGTTAAGATAACCTTGTTTGGGTGTTTTGATGAAATTTCATCTAGTCCGAAATATCATTTTCACACTAATAGCATATTTGGTTTGTGTTTGGGAGGTACCAGATGAGTTTTGAGTGAGTTTTTAAGCTTTTTGGATGCTTTGACGTTGTTTCAGCAAATTGGGTTAACTTAAAGTTTCGTTATTAGTTTTAAAAATAGAATATTATTACGAAATTTCTGAAAGTTTGAGCATGAATATAGGACGGAACGGTGGTGTATTTTAGCTAAGTCAAGATTGGACTTTTATTGCGAAATATGAAATAATTATTTATTGAGCAAAATTAATATTTTACTAAGCAAACGAGCATGAAATTGAGTCTTGATTAAACGAATAGGTCCGTATCATTATTTAAGACATTTAGGAAAAAGAATCGGAGCAATTTGCTATCGTATGAGGAAGTTACGGCTCCTCTAGTGAAATCAAAGTTGTTGGTTTCTTATGTGAATTCTGATGAACAAGTATTTAAGATTTCAGGCTGTCTTTATTTGATATTTGTGTATATTGGGAATTCTAGAGCTCAGAATAGAGTAATTCTTATGGTATTCTTCTCGATCTCATATGGGGGTTAATGTAAGATCCTCATTTTGGAATTCTCTCATGATTTCCTCATCTGTTTTCTTTACTTATCTGTGAATTTCATAGGGAAGAATTAACGCTTTATTGATTTGTACTCAGTTTTTTATGACAAATTTATAATTATGATCCTCATGTTATGAATAAACTAATTTCGGCATAAATTTATTGATTTATCAATTATTTTAATTATATTAACCGCGTATAAGCTTGAAGATTTTGTGGTTTCAAGGGTAAAGTTAAAGTTTGATAAACTGATGATTTCAAGGTTGATTTTAATTCGGTTTTAGATGAAATTTCATATTTGAAGTTCTCTTAATATAGGTAAGATATTTTTCAAGAGATATTTAAGAGTAGTTTTTTTTTTTATCTTACATAGTTGTCAATTGCAAAATGTTCTAACTGAAGGCAAAATTAAACTGTTAGTAATCTATGCTCCCTCCGTCTAAATATAAGTGTCACTTCAACACAAAAAATTATCCCAAAACAAGTGTTGTCGGAGGAATTCAACTATATATATTCTTATATTAAAGAGCTACTACTTCTTAATAGTGCTCAATTATCAAAAACATCAAATAAATAGAGAGGCTACTTAGAAAACTACAACTTTAATTTATTTTTTTCCTTACTGGGTGAGAAATGAGCTAAAGTAACACTTATTTTAGGACAGACGAGGTAGTAGTATATAGTTATGTCGTTTCTGGTCAATACTCATTTTCCCAACTGTGAAATCATATTTATGTCAGCAAATACCTTTTTCTCGCTCACTCCGCCCTGGTGCCACATGTCCCTCCTTTCTCTTAAATTTTGTATCTATATATATGGGGGCCGATTACTATCCAAGATCCACATACTATACATAGAGAGAGAGAGAGATAGATCTGTGGGGAGAGTGAGATGGATAATGGTAATCATGTTGGTGGTTCAGGAAATGGAGGATTTCATAGCTATCGCAGATCTCCTGCACATTCCCCTTCCGCTGGTATGCTACCTAGCTTCTCTTTTACTTTTACAAATGCATTACACAGTGATTTCTCTATATATATGTATGGTTGGAATGTTAATGAATTTTTTATATTTGATATACTTACTAAAGCCGATCGTTTCTATTAAAATCTATCTCAAAAGGTAGGGGAAAGACTGTGTACACATCACACTTCCAGATTCTATTTAAGGAATTATATGTCGTTGTTGTTGTTGAATATTCATGATGCTTTGTATATGCTGAAGTATACAGTTTTATTCAGGAGACTAAATTTGGGCTGCTAGCTAGCTAATAATTTTCATTGATTCCCCTAAATTTTTCATTTTCTTTTTTAGCTCTGTTGAGCCTTGGAAGATAATAAAAATGGAGAGCTGCAACTTGTGTATATTTCTTGGCTTTTCTTCTCATCATCTTCTGTATGTCCGTCTTTAATTAGCTAGCGACCATATATGCCTTTTTTCCCCATATATATATAAGCAAAGTTAGCTGTTTGTATATCAAAGATTAATTGATCAATTCATGGTAGGGGTGATCGACACGGCATTTCTGGTTTTCTTTTGGAACTTCAAAAGAAAAAAATGGAAACAAGTGGCATGCATGCAATCTTGTGTATGTCCTCTCTACCCTTTTTTTACGCGTGTGTCTCCTCTAAAAAGAATATTAAAAAGAGAGAGGAAGAAACAAACCGTCTAACGTTAGCAAGTTTGAAAAACAGCTAGCAATATTACACAAATTAAAGGCTTTATTTATGGCATAAAAATTGCCGAAAGTGTCCGTTACAATTCGAGTA